TTACCAATGCTTCAGGTGAGATTCCCCATCCCACTATTTTAGGTGGCTTGCTGGAAGGGAATTTGGAATGGCCCCAAAATTGATTACATCCTCTCTCCTGTTTCTTTTATGTTCCTAAATGGAAGTTTTTGTAACTCTGGATCTGTTTGTCTGTCTGGAGCTCTCCCAGGAGGGAAAAGAGAGGGAGATTAACCAACAAAGAGCTGTAGCTCCACGGTCTTCCCCTACAAACCCACAGGATTTTGCCATTTCTCTGGTTTTGAGAGGTGAAAGGATAGGCAGATAGCCATCCTGTGCCCAGTAGTAAATCCTGTTTCCATTGGGCCCCTCTCTTCTGACTGCAATTTGCACCTTACCCAGGTGTGAAAACCTTTCCTGGGGCAAGGAAGATGCAAGCCCCTCTGTCAGCAGCAGGTCAAAGTCACTCTCTTCCTTGTTACTGAGGAAGTGAGTCTCTATCTCGGCCTCTGATTTTCCTCAGACACTTGAACTGTTCATACTCTATTAGACACATATGAAGGAAGGAAATTGGACTTTCTCAGGTTTCAGATGTATCAGCAGGGATGTATGACTGAAAATTAATTCCCTGACACAGACTGATGAAGCCAGCGGCTTCCTGAAATACTGGGATACATTTTATATTCTTTATAACATGATCTCAATGTTACATGTCTTCCCTGGTTCAAAATGCTGATGTTTTGACAATGGGACATAGAATCTTCCATTTTTATAAACAACTTTCTTGTTAATTAGTTAAAATGTCAAGAAATTGGTCAGTTTGTATAGTAATGAAAAGACTCTAATAAAAATCTGCATGTCTTCTAATGAGTGTAGAATGTCATTTAGATATAAAGTACCAGATGAACTAATGCACTTTTAGATCTGGAGTTTGGCAATAACTAAAAACAAAACATATCTTCTATTTTTTTATTCCCCCAAATCTGCTTTATTTCACATGATTTTTTTTTTTTTTTTGACAGGGTCTACTCCTTGCCATTATACTGCGACTTAGACGTGTTAGACTTAGATGTGTTTCTCACCTTCTTCCAGTCTCAGGTTTCCTTATCTATACAGTACGCATAGTCAAAGTGTTTGTGTTATAGGATTGTTTTGAGGATTAATTAGCAGTTTAAGCACTGCTAATCATACAAGCTCACTCGTGAGTTATTGGTAAATATCATTCTTAAACCAACTTTATTTTTACATATGATATTGTTTTGATGTTTATTCATTTTAATTTACTATCCTTAAGTCTCATATGCAATCTCTGGAGGTTACATTTTAAATGTCACTTATTATCCATGGCTTCTAAAGCAAGTTCCTTTATTTTTCTGATCCGTTGTCTACTGATTTGAAGAAAAGTACCAACTGCTTTAACTCACATGGTTGTGCCGGTGTAACAAATGCCTGATGTATGTGAAAGAACTTAAAAACCGAGGAAATGTCATGCAAATTTGTAAGACTTGTTATTACTGTGTGATTGTACTAACCCATACAGAACTTTGTAACAGAAGAATCATCTAATCAAGATGATTAAAATCTATAACAAGGATAGCATCCAGAGGAGGCTCAATATATTGACTAAAAGATAAGACTGAAGGATTTAAAGAGAGGTGACAGGAATCTCTTGACTGTATATTGAAGCCAAATAATTAGGATCTCTCTGCTATGAACACCTGACATCAGAGAACACTTCTAGAAACCAAGAAATATATTAAACAGAAAAAAAGGAGAAACAAATATTCAACAAGACACAGAAATTACAGACATCCTGGAAACAAATCCAAAAACATATACTTTTCAGCTCCAGTAACAGCCCATCCAGAAATTAAAAGCAGCAGTCCTTTGTGTGCTTTAAAATACTGAATAATATTGGAGTTGTAAGTCTTGTGGTCCTCTATCAACCAACTCCCTGAATCTCCCTGGGTTTTAAACAAATTGCGTTGTAGAGTAAGTATTGAAAGAGCTTTGAGTAGACCAGTCAGTCTTACTAAGAACACATGAAGGAACTCATTGCACCCTCAGTGTATGGCTTTTCAGAACTCAGTTTGGGGTGTGTATGAGCGTCTGTACGTGTCTCCTTTTGGTAAACCAGAGACAGCATAACTAGTTGCTAGTATTTCTGGACGCAATTATCTCTGCATTTTAATTTCTTTTGTTAAAAATAAAATCTAGAATAGCAGTTAAATAAAGCAGCCTGTGGTTTCTGGAAAGATGAAAGGTGACTTATATTGGGCTTATTGGTGGATGGGATCAGGAAAGAAACCATGTATTAGATAGTGCCAATGATAAAGAAGGGAGGAAGCTACTGATACCGTTCAGCGGACTTCATGGTGCATTACTTCTGGGTTGAAAGAATTATTAGGAGAGCCAATAAAGAAGGAGGGTGGGTGGCTATAGTGGAATTATGAGGAAAAGCTAATCTTTTGAAATATTTTCAGAAGATATGGTACTTATTCGGTAGAATATGAAGACTTGCAGTGCAATACTTACCAAAGACTTTCAGAATCCAAGACTCTGTCAGTCTTGAAAATGCATCTGCCTTGAGCTTTGAGTGTGCTGGTGGTGGGGAGTTAAGTATTACCCCAACTTTTGTAGGAAAGAGCCATTTCAAAGTTCTCAAAGGAACATATAGACAGCTTTTTGAGTGTTATCCTTCTTCTCTGCTTAGCTTGTTAATATGAAAATAGATTTAGAAAACAATTTTTTTAACTATACTGAAACCTCAAATAAGCTTTTTTGAGCCCGTTCATCTCTGTTTTGTGCTAGACATTGTGGCACTATTTTTGGAGACATATACTACAATAATGGAAGAATGAATTTCACACCTTGAGCTTGAGGAATTAATATTAAAATGTTTGCATGTATTATATAAATAAAAGGGAATGCCACATTATTTAGTATAGATGTGCACTGTAAATTAAGTGCTAGATACTTAGTGTGAGATATTTAAGGGGTAACCTGACAGGGGAGATTTTAATCTAGTAAATATGTATCAAATATCTTTCCTTATTTCTTTTTGATGACTTGGAACATAGACATAAGTCAGTTACAGTCTTTGTTCTCTGGTTTCTTAAAAATCTTTAAGGAAGTATTGCCAAAGAGGACAATGAACATGAAAGTATAGGTTAGTAGTCAGTCTGTTTTTTTTAAGTGGGAAGATTGGAAATGAGTTAAAGATAACTCTATTCTGGAAACAGCCTGCCTGCTACATTTTAACCCTAGTGCCACTGCTTTCCTAAAGGAAAGCCCCAAATTGCCCATCACTTCTATATAATTTCATATTGAAAGTTGGGAAATAGCTAGGCTGAGTTAGCTTGACCTGATAACTCACTTGGCTTTCTCTCCAAGGCTCTAAAGCCTTTTTTGAGATTTCATTCCCATTGATAAAGACATTCTGAAGTGATGCTTTTTCTATCCTCTATTATGCAACAGACCTTTTGTTCACAAAGAGTAAGAATTGGAAAGAAAGAGTTTAGAAATCTTACTGTTGTGGAAACTAAGACCTCCTGTTACTCTTCATTTTCTTCTATTTGACATTTCCACAAAGTGCTATTAGTGCTGTTTCTCAGAGAAGTAAGAAATCATGCTTGGTTGGTGTATCAGCAAAGGCCTCATGAAATGATTGGAATTTGAAAAGAAGTCTAAAAGCAGATTAAGATTTCAGTGGTGGTAATAGTGGAGACAGAGGACATTCCATTTGAAGTGGAGAATATGAGTAGAGGTATAAATATAAAACAGTGTGGGACATGACAATGGCAATGTGTAGTTATAATTTGTGAGAACTAAACATACATTGATGTGAAACTATTAGGTAAATTCTGGAATGTAGGTGTCAGTGACATTTTGGAAACTGTTAAATGCAAAGATCTACGTTTCCAGTAGACAGTGAGACGGTCATGGAATGTTTGATTGGAATGTGGTTGAAGTTTATCTTAGCAAAATGTATATGGCTATCCACCTGTGAAATTATTTGGAATAAGGCAAGCAAATAATGGGCTATGAAAATAGCCAAGGCAAAATATCTGAGTCTGAATTAATTAGATGGCAATTGTCATGAATATGACTTGGAATAGAGTGAGTGGCTCTGATGAATGAGAGAAGAAATGGGAAGGTGAATGAAGATGACTCCAAGAGTAGGTGTCTGGTTGATTAGGAACATGACAGTACCATTGCTGGCAACTGGATAATCAGAAGAAGTGGGTTGTTCCAGATGAGGGATGCATAGCCACTAGAGGTTTTGATGTTTTAGACTCAGGTGTGTATATATTTGCAAAGCTATATTTTAGAATGATGAATCTGCTGGGTATAAGAGGGTGGCTTGAAGGGGATAAATCCTTTGAGCAGCAGGTGGTTGGTCATTGTTAAAAGTGTTTGAGACCAGGCTGGCCAACATAATGAAACCCTGTTTCTACTAAAAATACAAAAAAATTAGCCAGGTGTGGTGGTGCACACCTGTAATCTCAGCTACTCGGGAGGCTAAGGCAGGAGAGTCACTGGACTCTGGAGGTGGGGGTTGCAGTGAGCCAAGATCATGACATTGTACTCCAGCTTTGGTGACAGAGCAACACTCTGTCTCAAAAAATAAAAATAAGATAAAATAAAAACTTCAAAAGGATAATTCCCAAATGGCAGGATACATAGTTAAGAAAGAGTGAAGCATCACTGTGAATAATGCTGACTTATGACTGTATAACTAAAAGGACTTGTGTCTAGCAAATGGTCATGCATATAGATTTTTTAAGAACAATTTTTGGGAGCATAGCACTTACATAATTTAAATACAGAAGTCAGTTTTGACCAAAAAAAAAAAAAAAGAAAAGAAAAAGCAGTCTTTACTAATTCTTCTGGGAGGCATGCACACATCCACAGGCAAGGAGGGGAGAACTCCATGTATTTCCATGGAGGGCCCCCCATAGTCAAAGGATTAAGACAAGAAAGACACATATTGATAAAGAAATTTTAATAACTGGAAGGAAAGGATAACACTTTTCAGCTTACAGAACTTGAGTACAATTACCTGACATCTATTTTTAAGAAAGAGAAGGAAATTTAATTGAATGCACAGTTAGACATCTATCAAAATGAATTTTCTTTAAAAACCTCATATAACAATATCCCATTTCTCTCTCAGCATAATGATTTCTTACCAACAAAGCCTGTCAGTGTTTCCTAGAAGCAATATTGAAGTGACTTCTTGCTGGAAATTCAGCAAATGAACTTTTTTTGCTCCCAGAATCTCTCTCCTCATTAGGCTAGTTAGAAATTCGCCCGGGGCTCCCAGCCCATCTTTTCTCTGACGGATGCTAAGTGTAGAGAAGCTAATGGACACTTTAACTGTTAGGGGGTTTTTGATTCAATCCCTTGCAGCCTGGCAGCTCACTCCAAGTCCTTTCAGAAGAGCTGCAATCATATGCACAAATATGATGGTTAAATATGGGCCAGAAGGAAAATCACATTTTTTTTTTTTCATGATAAGGGAGATACTTGTTAAAAACGGGAAATAATCTGTGAAGGTATTCGATGGGCTGGGACTTTCACACCTTCAAGAGGCCCCTCCCACTGAACTGTCCCTATAGCAATTTGCTCCTTGCAGGGAACAAATGGGGAAGGAATCCCTTTTGCCATTTCTAGGTGTGCTGTTACAGCCTCTTCCTATGGGCCATCATATAATATAAATGTTCTTTAAGTTACCATCTAATAGCAATTACTAATAGAATATGACAGGTTTACATTATTTTGAATTTGAAATGAAAAAAACTGATGAGTATCTTGTAAATGTGAAACATGTTTTATGTAAACGTGTAGTATCTGAGAATAGGTTTAATTAACCCTTTCCAATTACATTAACTTTCTTAGATTTTCCCCTTCCGTCCTTTGTATCCTTTCTGCCCTAATATCAGCACCAATAAATTGGTCAGTGATTATTCTCTAATTGTCTGTGCCCCATATTTTTCTCCACCTAGTCGGAAGGTTTTTAAATGATCATTTTTTTTTTGTTTCCACTTCTCAGTTCTCCTCCAACAAGCCTGCCCATGAAGCTCTGACTTTACAATTCATGATTGTGTTCTTAATGTACAGGTTAAATTTGGTTTGGGGAAACATGGGCCTAGTGTTTTAGATCGTTTAGATTCAATAATCCACAAATGTCTAGACATTCAAATAAGGTCAGAATAAAAATCTATTCTTTGAAATGTATTTAGCAATTCCAGACATCGATTTGGAGAAATGTGTCTTCCACAGGCAACTGAAAGAGAAATCTGTTCTGGTTCTAAATATGAATCAAAGTGACAAGACCCAGACCATCTTATCTATTTAAATGGAAGATCATTCTGAAAGGTATAAAGATGCTCCTGCAAACCTGTCTGGTGCCAAAGCATCAAGGCACAATTTATCCCAAATGACTACCATTGCTGTGAGACATGAGTTGAATGTAAAGAGGCACTGGAGCTCACAATTCAACATTGACGGGGTTGTTTTCCCCAGGATACTACCTCATGATTTCTTCAAGTCTATTGACACTTTTTTTTCCCCCTTGGGAAAAATAAGATGCCTGTTTTGTTTGGTGGCTGCAGGACTTGGTACTACAAGATCCAGCCCACGTGTCTCTGGTGACTGTATAAGAACCAGGGCCTTTTGAACCTACGGAGACAATGTGTTGCTGTTCTGGTAGTAGCATGTCTTACCGTTATCTCTGATGGTGTGACCTAACATAATGTGACACATACTAGAAGAAGTGATGTGACAAAATGGATCAGGCAGGCAATGCTGCGCATGACAAATATGCCATCTCATCTGAACCCAGTCCTGCTTTTAGCAGATACTAACTTAAAGGGCGTATCACTTTTGTCCGTATCCTTCAAGGTTTTTGGTGATAAGAAGGCCATGTAAAGGCCACATCTGTTATGGATGTAGAAGTAAGCAGTATTCGGTAGTAACAAAAGGCGATGTTTGAGATGCCATGTGCCCAAGAAATCAGTTGGAGGAGGTGTAATTAGGTGGTGAGAGAGAGGATAAGCTATCTATCCCCTCTACCACTTGGTCTCTGGGACTGACAGCTACAGCAAAGCAGTTAAGTTGTGCTTCAGTAAGATCAAGTGGGAACGACACAGCTGAGAAAACCTTAATCTGTACCTTTAATAATTCATTGCAGAGAACTTCACAATTTGGTTCAAGTTCATTTCCTTGTTCAACTATTATAGTTCACGCCTTCATTATATCCATCAGCCAGGATCTGGTCAAACATACAGAAACCACTTTAAGAATTTTGAACAGAAAATTTGGTACAGAAATATATCTAAAAGTTGTTAGAAAGGGTTATAGGAAACACTAGGAAATGGTGGTACGATCCAGAGATAAGAAAGTCAAGGAAGCATCTAACAACCTTCTTTTAGGAGTAGAGAAGCAAAAGAGAGAAAAGAGAATTAATGCATCAACCCTACCTACAAATGCTTTTTGAACCTCAGCTTTTCCATCCTTTATCGGCTACTTCTGCTGATGGGAACTAATCAGAATCCAACTGGAAAAGGAGTCCAAAGAATGCCATTTTTAGTTTTTCAATGCCTTCAACACAGAACACAGAACAGTGGGTAGGAATGGAGTTCAGTACAGAGAGACAATATTTGTCATATTATGGTTTAGTTATTTTAATGAAAGGTGAACAAGGCAAGGATATATTTTTATGTGTATAATGTATATATACATAGACATGTATACGCATGTACACAAATAACTACAACACCTAGTGATAATGTGCTAGACTTAAGTGTCAGGTAAGTGTGGGTTTATTCCTAGCTGTCTTTATATGCCTGGGACTGAACAATAACACCTGCTATGTATTCTTATTAGTAGGATGCAGAGGATGCAACATATTCTAAAGATATGGCATATTTAGTTACAGTGCACATTAAATGCTTTAAAATGGCTTATACTTTAATCTCATTTGACAAAGGTTTTGCAAATATTAGCACTATAGTTCTTCTCACTTTGGAATGGATTTAAAATACTGTATGAGAACTGATATTTTGCTACTTACTGTCTCTTCAATTGTGGCACAATAAATACTTGATATTTAAATTAAAGGTTGACCCTAATACCTAGGGAAGAGAGTCACACACATTTACTATGTTATTAGAAATATTTTTTTAAAAAAACCCACAGTGTTCTTTTCAGAGTAGCATAGAGTAGGAGAAAAACAGGTTGTAAAAAATTAAATAATTTACAATGTGAGTCTCAAAAGGAATTTTCTACAACTTGTTTTTTCATGGCACAGAAATGCCTTGCTGTATTGATCATCACTGAGAAGTGAGGTGCTCTACTTAACTGTTTTTTATATAAGCGAAGACTACCTTTTTATTTTTAATCATTTCAATATTTTAAGAGTAACATTTATTGTTTTCCTGCATATAAAATTAACATATGAGAGAGGAGCTGGATGAAGATTGTAAACTGAGCCCATTTTTTTTCTTACTATCTCTGCACTAGAAGTTAACTGAAATTATAGAAATAATACTTTTATATAAATAATAGAAAGTAAGAAAGGGTCTCTTAGGAAATTCTGGAAGAGAGAGAGTAGTTGGGATAAATTTTCAGAGGGATCAAAATATAGAAAATTGCCAAATACCAGCAATAAGAGCACTCTTTTTATATAAAGTTGAGAAAATCCAAGCTTTATGACAAATTCAAAACGACTAGAGGCCTGTAGTATAATCAAATTACTGAACTTGGATAAACTGGGCAATATGGATGCCTTCAGCTCTCTTAATGATGAGATTTTGCTTATCATGTGTGTGTGTATGTCTGTGTGTGTTTGCACATGTATGTGTTTTAGTTTTTTATTTTTTAATTTTTTATTCTTTAAGTTCTGTGGTACATGTGTAGAATGTGCAGGTTTGATACATACGTATACACATGCCATGGTGGTTTGCTGCATCCATCACCCTGTCATCTATATTAGGTATTTCTCCTAATGCTATCCCTCCCATAGCCCCCCACCCCCTTGCTATCCCTCCACTAGCCCCAACCCCCCAACAGGCCCCAGTATATGATGTCCCCCTCCCTGTGTTCATGTGTTCTCATTGTTCACCACCTACTTATGAGTGAGAACATGCAGTGTTTGGTTTTCTGTTCTTGTGTCAGTTTGCTGAGAATGATGGTTTCCAGCTTCATCCAAGTCCCTGCAAAGGATGTGAACTCATCCTTTTTTAAGGCTGTATAGTATTCCATGGTATATATGTGCCACATTTTCTTTATCTAGTCTATCATTGATAGGCATTTGGGTTGGTTCCAAGTCTTTGCTATTGTGAACAGTGCCACAGTAAATATACCTGTACATGTGTCCTTATAATAGAATGATTTATACTCCTTTGGGTATATACCCAGTAATGGGATCGCTGGGTCAAATGGTATTTCCAGATATATATCATTGAGGAATCCTTATACTGTCTTCCACAATGGTTAACTAATTTATACTCCTACCAATAGTGTAAAAGCATTACTATTTCTCCACATCCTCTCCAGCATCTGTTGTCTCCTGATTTTTTTAATGGTCACCATTCTAACTGCATGAGATGGTATCTTACTGTGGTTTTGATATACGTTTCTCTAATGACCAGTGATGATGAGCTTTTTTTCATATGTTTGTTGGCTGCATAAATGTTTTCTTTTGAGAAGTGTCTTGTTCATATCCTTTGCCCACTTTTTGATGGGGTAGTTTGTTCTTTCTTGTAAATTGGTTTAAGTTCTTTGTAGATTCTGGATAGTAGCCTTTTGTCAAATGAGCAGATTACAAACATTTTCTCCAATTCTGTAGGTTGCCTGTTCACTCTGATGATAGTTTCTAGTGCTATGCAGAAGCTCTTTAGTTTAATTAGATCCCATTTGTCTGTTTAGGCTTTTATTGCCATTGCTTTTGGTATTTTAGTTATGAAGTCCTTGCCCATGCCTATGTCCTGAATGATATTGCCTAGGTTTTCTTCTACGGTTTTTATGGTGTTAGGTCTTATGTTTAAATCTTTAATCCACGTGGAGTTAATTTTTGTATAAGGAGTAAGGAAGGGATCCAGTTTCAGTTTTCGCATATGGCTAGCTAGTTTTCCCAATACCATTTATTTAATAGGGAAACATTCCCCTATTGCTTGTTTTTGTCAGGTTTGTCAAAGATCAGATGTTTGCAGATGTGTGGCGTTATTTCTGAGGCCTCTGTTCTGTTCCATTGGTCTATATCTGTGTTTTGATACCAGTACCATGCTGTTTTGATTACTGTAGCCTCATTTGAAGTCAGGTAGCATGATGCCTCCAGCTTTGTTTTGTTTTTTCTTTTCCTTAGGATTGTCTTGGCTATGTGGGCTCTTTTTTGGTTCCATATGAATTTTAAGGTGTTTTTTTCCAGTTCTGTGATTAAAAGTCAATGGTAACTTGATAGGGATAGCATTGACTCTACAAATTATTCTGGACAGTATGGCCATTTTCATGATATTGATTCTTTCTAACCATGAGCATGGAATGTTTTTCCATCTGTTTGTGTCCTCTCTTATTTCCTTGAGCAGTGGTTTGTAGTTCTCCTTGAAGAGGTCCTTCACATCCCTTGTTAGTTGTATTCCTAGGTATTTAATTCTCTTTGTAGCAATTGTGAATGGGGGTTCACTCATGATTTGACTCTCTGTTTGTCTGTTACTTGTTTATAGGAATGGTTGTAGGTTTTACACATTGATTTTGTATCCTGAGACTTTGCTGAAGTTGCATATCAGCTTAAGGAGATTTTGGGAAGCTAACCTGATGTCAAGATATCTTTTGCTTCCTAAGGATTTTTAAAGCTAGATTATCCTTTAGAATCTGAGCATAATTTTATGATGTCCAACATTTTTTGTAGGTATTTATTTTTAAATTTAGTCATTTAACTGAAAGAAGTCAATTTGTGGTTAATATTTGGCAGTACATGGTTAAGTAGGGGCATGGATTTGACTCAGTCTTTTTACTTTGTCCAGCTTCTAAGGTCATTGGCTGGAGGGTCAGTGCATAGGCATAATGGTTTAGCAAATTTCCAGTGTCTTATAATCCTGATTGAAACTGTTCTATCTAGTTCTGTTTGTATGCTTTAACAAAACAAAACTTAGTGTATGTAAGTAAACCTTAGGAATATGTATTTGGTAGTCCTTTTCTAGAAGAAACTTGTCAAAATCTAAAATCAATGGAATTTCATCACTTTTACAAGTCAAATTAAGCACCACCACCTAGCCGTTTCAGCTTTTTGCCATGATTTTACTTGGAATTTAGATCTTAGCATAAATGTACAAGGTGCCATTCATGTTAGAGGGTAGGAGGAAGAGGTTTTCAGGAATGAAATGGCCCTCAAAACTTCAGAAATTACTACCATGTAGTAAGGGATTTCTGGGGGTAAAAATACAGAGTTTGATTACCTGACAGTTTGTTTACAAATGAATCATCGCGATGAAGATGATTGAAAATATCTACCCTTTTTCTCTCTAGATGAATTCTTTCCCAGGATCACAATCATGCTTTAAAAGTTTAAATTTCATCCTACATTTTTAACAATAATATCTTACATTCAAAATAGTTGAAACCCAGCATCACTTGTGCATCTTCACATTTATGTCAGTCAAATAGTGCTATATAACCACCTTTTTAATTCTTAAGTTCAAGGTACATATTATCTTCATTTGGAAGATAAAGAATTTTTTCCCCACAGAGCAATGTCACAATTTTAAGGAATTTGCCAGTAATCACATAGCATGAAAAGTGTTAGAACTAGAATTTAATTCAAGTCTCAATGTTTCTAAAAACCATGCTCTTTATTTCTCTTTTAAAATTTATTTTCACCATGGTATATAATCATTAATAATATGTGATTTAAACTAGGGCCTAAAAGGTGGATATTTTAATACCCAGAATGATAATGGTAAGGAAATCAAAGGAGGAGAGCAGGTAGAGATAAATCAGAAGCAAGAACTGACATGGCAATCAGGAAGACATACTTTTTTGGAACGCAGAAAATATGTATAGCAGTAGTACAAATAAGACAAAGATGCTAAAGGTATTTTACACCAAGCTACTGTACCCCACATTGAGGTATCTATAAGAGCTTCTGTAAGACTGGAGTGTCACTGAGTTTGACTTATTTTTGTAATCTAGGCATGTATGCCATGTCTTGTAAGGAAAGAGACTGTAAAAATGATAAGGCAAGTTAAGAGCACTTTGTGGCTGGTGGTAAGTCACATATGGAATAAAATTGTTTTATTTAGGGAAAATTTTAAAGAAATAAATACAGCATGATGATTTGTATGCTGCTGCCTTAAAAAATGTTTGTTACCTTTAGGTAAGAAGTTGATAGGCTTTTCCTTTTTATGTATTTATTTTTTTGTTATACTTTAAGCTCTGGGGTACATGTGCAGAACATACAAGTTTGCTACATAGATATATACATGTCATAGTGGTGTGCTGCATCCATCACCCCATCATCTACTTTAGGTATTTTTCCTGATTCTATCTCTCCCCAAACCC